TGGCTAACCTCTATTTTCAGTGGCCTTTAGTTGAATTTGCCTATTGCTAGATTGTCAATTTGAAATACTTGTATCTACTGAATGTCCCTATGAAAACGTAAGAACTTACGTATCCAATATTATATTTCCGATATTGGGTAGGAATGTAAATATCAGCAAGGTTCGCCGTGTTGGGAAACAATCCGATTCATCTATGTCATCATCTAACCGCCCTATTCTTGTCCGACTTAGTAACTACAATGACAAGTTAGATATTATATACCATTCCAAAACACTAGGTAACCAAAACATAACAGTAGTCCAGCCTACTATTTCTTACGAGATTTCCGACTTAGAATACGTTCTGCTAAACTTCTGTAAGATACTTCTCCGCGTCCCTAAAAGTTCAGTGAACGCTGCTGTAAGGGGCGAATTAGGCGTATTCCCACTGTACATAGATACCCAGACGCAACTGATCAAATATTGGATAAGACTTAACAACCTCCCTGATGACAGAATAGTTAAGAAAGCATATCACGAAGCCGTTAGACAAGAGCAAGACTGGGTAGTCCATGTACGAGACACACTCTGTAGACATGGTTTCCAAAATATTTGGTTGAATCCCACTACAGATGCCAAATATTTCGGATTTATTTTCAAAGAGCGCCTTAAGGACCGATTTCTATCTGGCTGGAGGCAAAAGATAAATAGCTTTAAAAAACTTGAAACATACTCAAAAATAAAAAAAGAACTTTCACATCGAGAACTATCTTCTATCTGTTCAAAAAAAAATCCTTTATAGTTAATACCACAAAATTAAGAATCGGAGCACACTGCCTAGACATTGAAAAAGGCAGACACAACAATATAACAGCCAGTCAGTGACTATGTCCTACGTGCAAAGATGGAGTTGAAGACGAATATCTTTTTCTGATGACATGCCCCACATACGACGAAGAGAGACACAAATTAATGCAGATGATCCGATGTAAGACTACTAAAACATTACCCAACACATCTAGAGAGACGTTCCATGTACTTATGTCATGTCCAGACACATTTTCTGTATATGTAGGTCAATACATTTATAATGCCATGCAAAAAAGACGTCTTAGAATAGCTGCATAAGTAGAGTCACTGAACTTTTTTTTTATCAACTACATGTGTAGCGTTTGGTAGCATTTATATGTAGAATTGTAACATTCCTGGTACGTAACTTAGTATACACTCTGTTTAGTAGCCATAGAACAGTATAATTAGGCCACACTGATTTAATTTTATGGATGACATCCTCTGAAGACCCCCAAACTAGTGCGCGCGGGCGAATAAAAACACTCCGGCCCAAAATAAAATGCTACTAAGCCACAGGAATACAAAGCTGGTATTGTAAATTCGCGGCAGTACTTAGCGACGTACATACGACAAGACGGCACATGCTGGCCTTTTGCGGAATTTATGAATCGGTACTGAGTTCTTGAGTCGTGGAGCTTCGATAGCCTGGGTGCTCGGCTCCGTATTGTCGCTAACTACCATGGACTACCCAGGCCTAGAGCCAGGCCAGAGCATCGGTGGACGTGATCTTTTTTTTTTTTTGAGGGCGACAGGCGAAAATCAATGCGCGCGCGGATGTCATCCATAAAAGTAAGTCGGTGTGGCCTTAGGTACAACTACTCACTGTACCCTTCATGTGTATAGTTTAGCGTAATGTAGAATGTACGTGTAGAGTCGAAATATTCTCTAGCCAGTAGTTCTTTATAATACTCTGTCAGATGCAATGTCCGTGTCCATATATATAGTATTATGTTAGACACATACCAACTAGTAATTCTATTATTTGCCATACATTGTACCCGTGACAATTGTTGTGCAATAAACTTTGACTTGACTTGATATCTACGTGTATGCACCCATGCGGCTTGTGTATATGGTAGCTAGTTTCACATACGGTGTTCTGATAACCCCCATACATAGCCTCCATATTATTTAGCACAGTGAATGCACAAAATTGATTTTCAAAGGTACTTACTAATGGACATTAGATATAAAATGTGATAAATTGTGTAAAATCAGTTTAATTTCCCTTTAAAGTATCCTTTTATCCCCCATGTAGAACCCCAACGAATATTTCTAATTATTTTTAGCATTTTTTAACAGTTGTCCATTGATCCCATGCAGCTGCACAGAAAATGTCCATGATTTACCCCATAAGGAGACGTTGTTACTTAATTTATTATGGTCGAAACCCCCCGAAAATCCCCCATAAAGACCCTCTATTCACGGCCCGCGTTATGCGTGGCCCAAATAAACAACACTTGTTTTTCAATCAGCAGATGTTTCTCTCTCCAGCAACGGTAAAATGGTTTATCAAAATAGCCGCGTGACGGAGAATGACTAAAATTTAGAAAGATTGAAGTTCTGATGTCATTGGTTCTGTTAACCCCCTGGTATACCCTTTTAGCTTCAATGTTGCATCTTCAATTTTTGTTTTGTAAAAGTAGAAGAACCATGCTATGTGACAAAAGAAACCCCATGTTACGTCGATGAAGGTTAGACATCCAGGTAATACGATACGCCAAAAAGCAGTTATTCAAGCAACTGGATATGATTTTGAAAACGTCAGACGTTTCAGCTAGTATCCACTACCTTTCGTCAGTGACTGGGAGACCAGAGGGGAAATGCAGGTTTATAAGCACAACCTATTGATTGATATGCAAATAACGTGAAGACAAATTTTTTGGAAGTCGAAAAAGGAACAAAAGTCAGACAAGTCGAGACAAGATGATGCAAATTAGTCTGAAAGCTCCTGTTGTACAGAACAGGAGCTTAAGTAGATAGATGACAACATCAAGTTCACACAGGAGCCAAGTCATGACAATATGCTCCCTTTCCAAGACACCAAAACTATCGTAGAGGAAGATGGTAACCTTCGTTTCGAAGTGTACATGAAACCAACCCACACTGATCAATACCTGGCCTTTGATTCCCACCACTCTTTGGAACACAAACTAGCAGTGATCAAAACTCTCTTCCATCGTGCAGACAACATTATCACTTCAGACCAAGCCAAAACGGACGAACATAGACACCTTCGAGGTGCCCTGGCTAAATGTGGCTACCAAAACTGGACTTTCAACAAAGCGCTCAAACCTTCAGATCAGTCTAAGAAAACTCAGAAGTGCAAACCATTGACCAACAAAACAAGGCCGACATCACTATTCCGTATGTCCAAGGAGTATATGAGAAACTCCGACGGATCTTCCAAAACTTCAACATAGCCACTAACTTCAAACCTCACTCAACCCTCAGACAAAGACTGGTACACCCTAAGGACCGACCTCACAAAGGTACCAAGGCGATTGTTATTTACAGACTCAAATGTGAGGAGCCCAATTGTAACAACACCTACATCGGAGAGACAAGTCGACCGCTCAAAGTAAGGTACAAAGAACATTGCCGATCTAGTGCCAACGGCTACTACTCAGCTATTTTCCACCACCTACAACACAACCAGGGTCACTCTTTCAAACTCGAGTCCACGGATATCTTAGACCGCGAAACACGCTGGTGGGAACGGGGTGTTAAAGAGGCAATATATGAAAGAATGTACAACCCCACCCTCAACAGGGAAGGGGGCTACGGGTCGATCTTTCCGGCACTTGAGATTTGGCACTCCCAGCCCCGAGGACAGACAACACTTAAGCTCCTGTTCTGTACAACAGGAGCTTTCAGACTAATTTGCATCATCTTGTCTTGACTTTTCTGACTTTTGTTCCTTTTTCGACTTCCAAAAAATTTGTCTTCACGTTATTTGCATATCAATCAATAGGTTGTGCTTATAAACCTGCATTTCCCCTCTGGTCTCTCAGTCACTGACGAAAGCTAGTGGATACTAGCTGAAACGTCTGACGTTTTCAAAATCATATCCAGTTGCTTGAATAACTGCTTTTTGGCGAAACCCCATGTTCATATCATCTTTAGAATTTCCATGGTGTCCATTGTAATTTTGGTAATTTTCAGCCATAAATTGTTAGATTTTTGAGGGTCTCAGAGGGGGGTCCCAGAACTCCATAACAAAAAATACCTGGAGGGTTTTAACTATATTACACTGTAGATCATAGGTGACGTTGCTTTGGATGCGTTCTTAAACGAAAATATTTGCATATTTACACGGTTACAAGGACCGTATAAAAAATGCGGCCCCAAACGCACGGAAGTCAGATATATACATACTAGTTGTCAAGTTAAAACAATTGAATAAATAAACAAGAGTTCAAGAAACAAATATATTCGCCATGAAAAGAATATTTTATGTTTTTTTGTTCTTTTTAAGTTATTGTGTTTTGATGGTCCGTAGATCTATTCTGGGACTCCCTCTCCATCCTATCCCATCAACACGCACAAACGTAGATCAATCTGTCACAATATTCTTGTCATATTCGGGTCACAATTCAGCTTGCTGACCCGGTTCTATGGTTCCGAGAAATCTACTTATTTAAAACCACAAGATCTTTCTACCGTCGAGAGATTACCGAAGCGCAACACGAGATTTAAAACTCAGAAACCATGTTGTGGTAACCTGGAGAGCCCCCGTAATCAAGCTTGACCTTTGAATGTTGACGTTCTACCAACATGCCACATACCATAGTGATCCAGTCACACCTTCTCACAATATAAAGTCTAAACCAATATACGAACCTGCCAACAAGTAACACAAAGACATTACAACCTTGGCTAAGCAATTATTGAACCTCTGATTGCAATCAGACAACTATCAAATTAAGCTTTCTACGTGAAATATGTACCTTGATATTTAATCAAACGGCAACGTGGTCGCGAATTTAACTTAACATAACAACGCGTACAAAGGTCTGTTTAAAAATCACAGCATTATCGTTGTATGGTACATGTTGCATAGTAATGGTTCATGTTGCAGCGTTACGTATTATAAAAAGTCATTTATAAACCTCCCATAGATAAACTTGTCCTACATAATCATGACAGAGAAGGAAACTGTGACTTACCAAAATCTTATCAACATACGTTGACCAGCGTTCACGTAAGGCTCATTTTCATCTGTTGGTGAAGACTGCGTTCTGTTTAGTCAAAACACAATGGCTTCTTAGAAGTATATATAAAGGCGTATCCAATAGATGACATCATTGACTAAATGTTAAACAAGCAACGTTGACCAACCGCAAACCAGATCACATGATGTAAATGTCATGTGATGGAAACTCCCTGACGTCAGACAAATGGTAGCCACGACTCCTGCAACTGTTTACTATTTATGTGTACTATATCATAGACCAGTTATTTCAATTAGGTGAATTTTTTTTACATTTTTTTACGAGAGAAGATATTGCTGATTTTCTTAATTTGGTGGTATATTCGGTACAATCTATCACTATATCTAGTTGCCCTAATAATTAGAGACAATATTCTATTGCCAGTGGATAGGGCACTCTATACCCTACTGGCTACTCTGTGCGTGGCATAGCAATCAGATTTCACTTCGAATACATTGACGATTGATTGAGACGAGCCCTTAGCAAAATATTGATACACATTTCTGATGATGAAATGTTTCAAAGTTGAACAACCCTTGGTAAATATCAACATTCCAGTGTGCAAAAGCTGTGCACAGTTTACATGCTTCCAACATCGCCATTCTCAAGTTTTTGTCTAGAATCTTTTGACTGATGATGTTGACTATAATTCTTTGTTGCACATCCGTATAAACGTTATTCTGTGGCAAGGAAAAGGAGATCTTAATGATCTCTCTCTATCGCCACTCGTGCGCACGTGAGCTGAACCCAAAGATCATCCAAATACTCTCCTCACTGCGCTGTGCAAAGAAATATCGATCAGGGGTCAAACTTTCCTGACCCCCAGTGTGACACCCCCGCGCAAAAAGATAAGCTACGTGTACGTACGTGCACTCCCTGGCAATCTGCACTCCCTTCCACAGCATGTTAGAGCAGCACCTACTCTTAGAACCTTTAAAAGACTGCTATAGTATCGTAACTGACTTTGACTGAACGACTTTGGACACAACGACTTATGAGTTATTTATTAGTTATTGCCATTTTGTTTATTTATTTACTTTGTGTGAGTTACCTTGTGTATAAAAATTATTACTTTGTTTTCATTTGTGAGCAAGTAGTATTTATGTTATGACCCCCTGACACTCCTCCACGCTCGACCTCTATGAAAAGCGGCCGAAATAGCGGCCGATTAGAGCATGTAACACAGTTACAGATCAAGTTGAATTAAAGGGTCAAACAAACAATGTAGGAATCACACGGGGTCCATATCTAAGTGAACCTTACACCCACACGCGAACACAACGCTCTAGACTATAAAAAGGCAGTTCCTGTCACACATCCACGACATTAGCCTCCCGAACACTAGCCGAACGCCCGTCATCCATAGTTGGGAGTAGGTGGGCGCAAGGTTGGCTAGTGTTCGGCGAGGTTGGCTGTGCCAGCTCAAAGTTTCAAAATGCGCGGAAAGAACCTAACATAACGATAACCTTATGGAAGGCGCGGAAGGAACCTAACATAAAGATCGTAGTTAAGAAGCACCAGAACTCCATCAGAAAATAGCATTTAAAAAATCGACAAAGGCAATGGAAAATTGTATTTTCCCAACGTTAATATTTTTTCGTCATCATCACTATTACTATCACGTAATCAGTTGTTAAATCGCTTAGTTTCAGAGAGATATTGCTGTGTAATAATGAATATTTGAGAGTTGACCTTAGATGATCGTAAAGGTGATCTATTAAGTAGCTGATACACAGTAGCACTATCGGATATGCAATGTCAAAGATAGACTGCACAGTAAAGAGCAGGTAAAGGGCCTGGCCTACGCATATACAATGTATCAAGACCAACTAGACTTCAACGATCTCATACCTTTGCCAAATGATGTTAACCTTTATGACTGACACATTTTATATTAATTCCGAGGCCCGCTAAGTATGCAAATAGGATCCTTATTTGCATGAATTACTAGTATATCAGGTTATATTCTCCACAATATGACCTAGCTAGCTTATAGTAAAATAAAAAAAAATACATACTTAGCAATATATCTGTTGCTCTGTCTAGTAAGTACATCTATTAGTGTATTTCTTTGGGCATCTGTACACATTGTGTCTTCGTTTCTAATGTGTTTTAATGTGAAAGCTAGCCCTGTTTTAACCCTAAACAGTACACCTGGCGTCCGCGCGGACCCCAGCACTATATATTCTGTAATGTCTTTTTTGTTTCTAAAGATTTTTTTCTGAAATTTTAGGTAATTGTCACCCACAAAGTTGTCTTTGAATACAGTGCAGAAAACTCCGTTTCTACCATTTATGAAAAAAATTATATCTGATTTTCTGTTGGGGTCCGCGCGGACCCCAGCCGGCTTTCGATCATAATGGACACACTGGCGTTCTTATACATTACCTTATTTCCGTTTTTATATGTTTTTATGCACTCATCGTATGTCTACCAAGTTTTCAGAGAATGGTGTAATAATAGAATTAAATTTTAATAACTTTGGTGTAATTCTGACATCATATGACGTCAGAGCTAATAATATAGTCCGCCATATTGGATTTTGAACAATGACGTCGTCAAATTAGCATATTCTATGCATATTAAATGATTTAACTTATATTTAATTATGGAAGATGTTATTAATGTTGGAAAAGAAGTGTAATTTAATACAAAATTTTTATGTTTAAACCAAAATTACTTCAATCTATTTTCAAAAAAACTGCCTGCTAGAAACCCGTTGCCATGGCAACACAAAAAAACATCAACTTACTAGTATTCAACTAATATGAACTTTTTTTCAGGGACATTTTAGGAAAGGTCTCCAAATTTGATACTTCTAGCGCAAGCCGTTTAGCCGCTATCTCAGATCAAAGTTGGGCCTCAAAAGCCCCTTCAGTCTGAAATGGGTTTAAAAATCGAGTATTTCTTCTTGTTTTCTTTTCTTCACCAAAAATAGAAAAAGTTCAAAATGTACGATTTTTGTATGTTAAGTGGACACAGAGGTTCCCACATCAGTTTGCAAAACAATTGAGCTTGTAGCATGTTGATAATTTCTAAAAATTATCAAAAAACTGTTCTGGGGTCCGCGCGGACCCCAGGTGTACAGATTAATCAGTCCGGGAAGGTGTACTGTTGAGGGTTAACGGCTAAGCATCATTCATCAAGCCGTATAAGTCATAAACAACACATATCAATAAATGTTTATCGATACATTGATAGCAAATATCAATTGAACATTGGTGTGTTACAAAATTAAAAAGTTACAAAGTTACATGTGAATAAAACAAACATTTAAGTGTTAAACAATTAAATTTTCTTTGTTTTCTCTGACGAGTCACAAATTTAAACTAATAACGTCACCATGAATACTAAATGACTACATTTAATCACAACTTAACTACGTTGTGTATGCCTGCGGAAGATCCAAGACGTACATGCGTGTTGTTTGACAATATCAAGTGCAACAACTATTAGAAAGAAGGTGTCAGGAATTTTAGTGCGCACCGAATGCACATTAGGCCATGTTGATTTGATTATATGGATGAAATACTCTGGTAACCCCAAAACTGATGCGAGTGTGCGAATAAAAAAAAGTTTGGCCCTCAACAAAAGTTGCTTTCATTAGGAAATCTACATGGTTTTTAAGGTTAAACAAATGACACAGAGTATGCTTTGGCGAATAATCTAGTCTTCAAATTCATTTCTTCACATTTTCGTCTTTTTCATTTCATTTTGGTATTCCGGTTTGTACGAATTACAGTATATACTGGTTTGTACGATATACAGTATGGTTGAAAACTTTTTAAGGGAAACGGCCAAAAAGTCATGTGCACGCGGATGTATTCCATATAATCAAATCAACATGGTCTTAAGCACCACTGTTACAAGAACAGAATGGAAAGTTACCACAGCATGGTTGCAACCACGGGCGCCAGAGAATATTTCTTGGCGAAAACTGGCTCTCGACTTCTTCTACGGACGACATGTGATCCCTGACACCTCTCTCAATTGTCGAGATGATCTCGGCAAACTTCGGCTCGCTCTCGGGTGAGATCGGACTTCGCTCGGCCGGATCCTTGGCGATGTCGAATAGCAAGGGGGGATCGTGATGAGTGACGCCATCACCACTGCACTGACACAGGAAGGTACGGTAACAGCCTTCAGTCCCAGGGTCCCAGTTTGGAGTCGCGTAATGTGCCTTCCAAACAGACCGACCTATATGCGGAGGAACAAGACATTTCTTAGTTTAAGCCACATCATCTTACTTTTATGTATGAAATCCGCGCGCACATTAATTTTCTCTTGTTTAAAAGAAGAAAAAAATAAAGACTACATCCTCCGAGGCTCTGGCCTGGCTTTAGGCCTGGGTAGTCCATGGTAGTTAGTGACAATACGGAGCCGGTGGTAACTCTGGAGGATGGCAGCCAGGCTACCAAAGCCCCACGATTCAAGAACTCAGTACATACGTACAGTGCCGCTTCATGAATTCCGCAAAAAGCCAGCATGTGCCGGCTTGTCATATACGTCGCTATGTACTACCGAAAATTCACAATACCAGCTTTGTATTCCTGTGGTTTGGCAGAATATATGACCAAGACCCCAAATTAGTGCGCGCAGGCGAATAAAAAAATACGGCCAAGAATGAAAATGCTTCTAAACCACAGGAATACAAAGCTTATATTGTGAATTTGCGACAGTACATAGCGACGTGTACGACAACCTGGCACATGCTGGCTTTTTGTGGAATTTATGAATCGGCACTATTTGTATGTGCAAAGTTCTTGAGTGGCGGAGCTTCGGTAGCCTCGTTGCCATCGTCAAGAGTTACCACCGGCTCCGTATTGTCGCTAACTACCATGGACTACGCAGGCCTAGATATAGAGAGCCAGACCAGAGCCTCGGAGGACGTGACCTTTTTTTTACGAACAGGCGAAAATCAATGCGAGCGTGGATGTCATCCATAAAATTAAATCGGTGTGGCCTTACCTGAAGGCGGCCTGTAGCGGGCTGCATGTATCCTGCTCCCACAGTAGTGCATGAGGAACCGGCGGTCTG